GTTATTTATTTAAAAATTTAGTTTTTTTCTTGAAAAACATATTTCTTGTATTTACAACACCACTTTCGCTACAAAACTGTTACTAACGACACAAAACTGACTTGACTAAATGTGAATTTGATGAGCTTTCAGAAAATATCATTATAATTATCATCAGATGAGAGGAAAGTGGAGAAATGTAAGTTTTTCTATTGCTAATACCGTTTTTTCTGAAAATTTAAAAAAAAAATCATAGGTAAGAGACCACGAGGGATAAAACAATAAAAACTGTGGATTTGAACTCGACTTGTTACATAATTTACCAGAAAAAATTTTGTCACACCAACTTCAAATCACCCTGTATTAACCAAAAACCTTGAAGGAAAATATACCCTGGGTAATTGTATGAGTTTCAAATAAAGAATCCACTATATGTTTTTGAAACAATTTGTCATTTGTCATTTTAATTTGGTTTATAAAGAGTACTTAGATAGTTTAGGTTGTCATAAGTTAATTAAGCCCTTTCACAAGTTTTCCGGATTTTTTTACGATCACGAAACCTAAACTTTTGATACCTGTTAAATTTATAATACTGTTTATATGTATTAATGTTTTGAGTACTAGTAGGTTGTAAATTGTATGTTGATAAACACATAAATTCGGAATAAAACAGATTGCTAACTATTTTTATGCAAAAGACTTATCACAATGACAGTTCATCAGTTGTTGACTTATGGTGTTGTAAACATCATTAGTGTTTTTGCAATTAGCAATGCTTGTCATCACCAAACATCACAATTAGCATAAAATTGCCTGTCAAGTAAAATAATTGAATAACAACGTTTTCATAATGATTTAAAAACAAAATATTAAGGCTAGTGAAATTACTAATAGATTCTCTTAAAACAGATCCGTTGACTTTAATAATTTCCGTCGTTTGTTCATACAATATTTAGTGGTAATATACTTATCAAAATTTCATTAATAAGAATGATGAACTTATTTATGAATGTAAATTTATTATAATTTGTTTCGAATAATTTACATAACTTACTATTCAATATTTAATTCTGATATTAAAATCAATCTTACAACTGGTTTTTTTTCTTACAATCATTACATGTAAAGGGTTCTCTTAAAATTGGTTGCTTATCAAAATATACTTAAACATTGCCATTTGTCATTTAAGTTTTCACTATTAAAATAGTGATTTTTTAAATAGTATTTAAAAATGTAGTGATGAGTATTCAAAACATCTTTAAAATAAATTAATAATGAAAACCGCATTTATAGTCTTAAAAATATCAATTGTGGTTACCCATCCTATAGTTGCATGATTACGAACAATAATAAACCCATTACATAGACAATTGTATAGGCCTAGCACATTTTAGCCCTCATATATATTTATTGGAAGCATCACTAATACACAATCAACATGTTTTAACCCTCATTCAGGTACTAAATATCTTATTAAATGTAAAGTAATCACCAAATAATGGTGCAAAAGATTTTAGTAATTAATAAAATTAGAATAAAAAATTATATTTTTAGCTATAGTGTTCGATTTTCTCGATTTATTGATATTTATTTTGAAACTGTGGACATAGGAAATTGATTTGGGAATATTCAAATATAGCTTCGAAAGATTAATTTCTGTATTATTAGCCAATATTTTGCATTGCGGTTTTCATATAATGGTTATGATTTTGTCATAAAAAGCGACAATTAATCGCACTGTTCTAAAACTGCATCGATTTGTGTAAAATAATATTTATCCATCAACATTTCCTTCTACAATAAAGTGATTTATGCTAATACGAAACAAATTCATTCGCCCTCGAGCTTCGTTATAGAAAGCTCTTAAGAAAATTGGTTCTTAGAATTCCCATCAAAGGATCTTTCAAACTAAACGGAATATTTGACAAACGATTATAGTTGAAAAGTTCAAACAAGTAATTTATCTTTTCAAATCATATTATACCTGACTTCAGCCCGTAGCGAATTGAAAGTTTAAAAATTAAAAGTTTTAAGTTTCTTTTCAATATAAATATTTTATGCTTATTAAGCAGAAGGAGAATCATGGCCTTAAATCAAATAAGTTGACCCGATGGTTTAACCAAAACTCTAGTATCTTCTTTAGTAATAATTATAAAAAAATTATTTGCTGCTTATATTCTGGAAACTCTAAATTATGTTACGCTGATATAATCTAAACGGGTAAATCTAAATTAAAACTTAGATTTTATCATTATAAACTTCTGTTATCACTTAAACACTTAACTCATACATCAAAAGAAAAATTTAATGTCAAGAAGTAAAATCTTTTGGTGTAAGGTTATTTGTCATATTTTTCCTATTTTCCATTTCTTGTTTAGCCAAAAAGACTATAAAAATGTAGTGCCTCAAAGTTCTACTATCTGCTTAATACCATTGACTTTAAAGCTACAATATACTTGAATGCAAAGTTCATTGATTTAAAAGCGCAGAGCTGCAAAAAGTACGGAATGGCCCTAATTGGAATAAGACTCAAGGCTTAAGATGCAAAAGTTTTCCAATTTCCTTGAAGTTTTCCTTCACTTCAGAAAATTGAATGTTTTAATATTACCAGAACCAAATTCAAAATGTAATAAACAAATGTGCATGAACTATTTAAAGAAACTATGAACAATCCAATACAGTACAAATAAACACCTACTTTGCATAACGTGTTGGTGAGCTACCAGTTTTAAAAAGAGTGTTTATTTGTATACTGACTGTTTTAATCGGTAATTTTTTAATTTCCTGTTAACTTTTATTGATTGTTTTAAAAATAGTTTAAATTGGTAAAATCCATCAGTTCCTTTGCTTTAAATAGTTCATTAAAACATTTCGGGAATGTGATTTCATATCCGATTTCATGTAATTGGGACTAAATACAGAACCATAGAATTTAAATAATTCACCTATTATGTGATCCGGCAACTGGAGTCTTACTAACGTTTCCAGTATGTTAACCAGCTAAAGAAAGGTTTGCCTGTTTGTTTATTAGTATGAACTGAATATTTTCGTCACACTTTGTTATATCTATTTTTTTGTTGACGATTCAGTAATTTATACAGGGTTGAAAAGATTTTCAGGACGGTGAAATATTAATAAAAGAATAATTAATATAGAGCCACAAAACTTAGTAAAAAGCTACTGGGCATTACAATAATTTTAACACATTATTCAGTGTTACGCTACCTCCTTCAGAGGGACGGCCCACTAACAGTCAGAATAAAATTTTAAAATTTTACCATAGGTTTATGTATACAAAAAATTAAAGGCACCTACTAATAGAATACAATGACGCAAATTTAACTCAAACATAAAACCGAGTCAAAAATGGCAGTCTTTTAAATATTTCTTGAATTCGAAGTTTTTTCTCAGCTATATTTTAGCTCAAATTTGCGGCATTATATTCTGCTAATAAAGACCTTTAAGTTAATGTGTGTTATCATCATATGCTTAATCTTACGATTTTCTTCCAACTCCTAGCGGGCACCCCTGAGAAGGTAACGAATAAGCATTGCAAATTCAATGGAGTCATTTTTGACTTTGCTGTCCGTTGGGATTGTGGTATTATATTTTACAAAATTATATCAATGTCCAGTAACTGTGTACCAAGTTTTGAAGCTCTATCTTGATAATTTGTTGAAATATTTCATTGTTCCAAGACTTTTTCCCACCCTTTAAAAAGTCCATTACCACCGCTATTGTTAAAACTATCGTTTGTGCGAGCTTATGGGGTTGTTGTTTATTGTTGTTGTTATTTAAAAACATTTTATCTAAACCCGCATCGAACAGACGGCCCAAACATGCGCATTCCACATAATGCTGAATATCTTGAAATTACTTAAATCTTTTTAAATAATGTTTTAATACAATTTGTGACTATTACAAACCTATTAGGAGTATTGGTTTATTAGGCTTAGCAATCCATTCCCTACATCAATAAACTAAATTAATCAGTTTTGATCTTAATATCCGTATTAGAGTTTTGAAGCAAAATTTAATTATTATAATAATTATATGCCTTGACTTTTTGTCTGGTTACATAATGTTTCTTTGTACTTTTAATACAAAAAAAGAAACATAATCATCTGATCACTGATAGCTATGTAAAGTATTTTCCAATAAAATCTACATTGCTATAAGCTTAATCGTCTTAGAACTAATCAATTATATTAGAAAAGTGATACGGTCAAATTTGTACTAATTGTTTAAGGCTATAAACTAAATACAAATATCGACATAAGACACACAAAATAAAGTTGAGAATGCGTAGATTTGTCGAAAAGTATTGGTATGAACGAATTGCCTAAATACTCTGAAGGTGGCATTATTTCGCTTATTGGAAAAGAAAGTTTTGCTAGTAAAATAAATAATTAATAAGTAACAACATAAAAAAAATAAAAACCGCACTATAATCTTTTGCATGCTCTTCCTTTTGCGAAGAACGGGTATAAAAGCTTGTATTTTAGTTGCTTTAAGATTTTTTTTTAATTTTTATTTACTCTGAACAGACAAAATGTATTACGTAAAAACAAGGTTTTCCAAAGTACAATCCTCAATTTTAAGAACAAAGAAGTCATTAATGGAGTTGCAGATGAATATATAATTTAAAGCTATATTTGGGAAATATAATACACCTTTTACACACTTGGAAAACTTTTATATAGTTTTTTTTTTCATTCCGATTACATTAAAAGCTGCTGTAATTAGTTTTTGCTTTAAATATGTTCATACTTTTGAGTTTTTCTCTACAACAAAAAAAGCTTCATTGTTATACTATTTATCATCTTTGAGTTATTTTTCAAGTCACCATCGTTTAACCCTAAACAAAAAGTTGAGTTCAAAAGAAAAAAGCACATTTTGAGAACAAAGAAACCAAGTGCAGTTACAGGTAGGGCAGGGTTGTGCAATGCGAGGGGTGTGAGGGGGGGAAGTGTGGTCGATGATGGACGCCACAGGTAGCACACAGGTGCCTCTGGACTTACTGTTTCTCTTGGCGCTCATGTGGCCATACAGACGACTCAGGTCAATCGCCATGACAGTCTGCGGCCAGGCGACACAGGCCACTGCCAGGACACAAGCCACCATGAGGCGCAGTTGGAGGGACGCGCGGGCCATCTTCACGGGATCCTGGAAGCGACTGGACTGACGAGGCTTGGGGCCGCGGAGTCTGCGCGTGTACTACCCCCTCCCCCGCCCACGCTACCCCCGCAGCATCTGCATTTGTCACGGGTGTCAAAGAAACAGCGAGATCCAGTGGCAAAGTGGAAACTGGAAACTGGAGAGGTGTCGGTTACAGGTAGAGATATCTTTGTCGCAAAGCGCGAATGCTAAGATTCCTGGTAGAAGGGTGGGTATTCAGATAAAATGTATAAAATAGGATCTCTCAATCTGTCGTAAGCCCTTATCTCCAGTTGTTAAAATGATTTATAGAATTTATAGTGGTAAAGGTTTAGCGTTGAAGAAAAATAATTCTGATAACTCCTTTATTCTATGCTAACATGATCATAATGTTGACTATTGTACCACAGGTAATCATTAGAAAATTGGAATTACATCTTTTTGTATTCATAACGAGAAATTATGACATCAGCGGGAAAAAAACACTTCTAATAAGGATCTTTGTTAAATTTGGTAATATCTTTGTAGCATTACTCTATATTACATACCTTATGTGTTATGTCATAGTACTTTTAAATTCAGATGTTAATATTTAAAAGTCTCTAACATTCTCATAGTTTTAGACCTATAGTCAGACAAAGGACATGACAAAGGACTGGGAAAAGACTACACATTCAGATCATTCTACAGAAGTGATCTAAACACTTCGTTTCTTATCAAATTTTTTAGATGGACTGACAAAAATAAAAATTGTCCATTTATTTAGTGTGCCTACCTACACAGACATTCCGTCTACCTAAACAAGAATTTCTTTCAGCTTCCGCTAAATTGGTTTCCATACATTTTCGTTCCGGTGTTGAAAGTTTGAAAATTGAAATCTTTGCGTTGTATGAAATTACCTCGTTATACACACGATGTGTATTGCATACTGCAACAATATTGCGGTTATTAAAATTTTTTATTAAGTGCCTTTCTGTACATTAAGTTAAATATCATAATACCGTACGACCAATCAATAAGAAGAGAAACAAATTACAATTGTTAGTCGAATGGTCTTTCCATCAGGTGCATTGGGAAGTTTATGCAAGTATCAAAATAACGACCATAATAAGTATGAAAAGGTTAATGTTAGTTATTCTTTAAGTAGCTGATCAACCATTCAACTAAGGATATTCTTAATTTTTGGACCTTTGTCAACTGCAAACGTTGGCGTTGAACGGTCGAACGGTAATCGTAGAATATTTCCTCATGTTGTAATAAAAAATACGTTTTTAAACATTAAACTTATCATAAAAGTTTTGTAACCGTTAGAGATAAATCGTGAATCATGAGGTGTTAAACTGACTAAGATTGAAGCAAGGATCACCTCGTCCTGTGAAATGTAAAAACTTTCGTGTTTACGGTGGTAACAAACTTTATGACTTGACAAGTAAGTTTAAACCTACGCTTTAACATCACATCACCCTATACCCTCGACCCGGCTCTGATTGGCTGTAAGAGTTCCCCCTCTCTCTTTTCCTATAAAAGAGAAGGTTAAATATGACGTTTTAATTTTGAGTTAAAATATTTGATCGTCTCCATCATTATTGAGGACTTTTTGGTATAAATGGCAGATCATTTATATAAAAAAGTAAATCCCTAGTAAGCAGTGAGATTTACATCAAACAGTTACTTACTTTGCTACTTAGGTCTGTTGTGTATCGTCTGTCTGACCTTCCTCAAAGAAACCACAAGAAAACAAGGTGAAATTTTGCTCAGACAATGATATACAAGTATTACTAGATTCATATTCCAGTTTTAAAATCGAAATATGGGTCTCACCGAGTTTTGAAAGTCTGAAAGGGGATTTCGATTTAAGAAGACACTAGAGGACCCATGCTGCTCCGCAGCGTTAAAATAAATATAATATCCGAGAAATAATCAAATTTATTATTTTTGATTAATTTTGACCTTAACTGATTCAAATGATCAATTGCTCAAATTAAAGCCTATAATTTACGTATATTTTGAGTCTAAAACATTTAAAATTTGAACATGACAGGAGCTTTAGATTTTTAATCACAGAAAAAACCTTATTAAAATAGGTTTTATGTTGGTTGTTCACCTTGCGTTTGCTTGAAACTTGTCCGATTTGGATAACTAATAGCTTAAACGAAAGCCGGTTTTCACTAAAGGTTCTTAGAACATAATTTATTCCGTTTACGTATAAGCCGAGTAGGATTATAAATAAATATATGCCGATGCTTGATGGCAAATCTGTGCGTGCATAACCTTAAATTTGAGACCTCAGTCATGAAAATCGGTGAGACAGCAGAGCCAAACGAACTCGCAAAAGAAAAGCCAAATAATTATTTTAATATACAAGATTTCCACAGTAACCAGATGACACCTACTTGTTTCAGTTAATTTTTTGATGACTCTACTGTAAATTGCCTGCTTCACTGCCTGAAATACTATTTACTTCATATAATGTGATCCAATAGTCTAATATTGTATGTTATGGAATGCGTTATAGTAGCACAATGTAAAATGCCCTTATTATATAACAGTATAAATCTTAATATATATTTTGCTTACTTTTAAGAAGTAAATATTATGATGTTCTCAATAGAAAGCTCTTATAAATCTAATAGCAAACTTTTCAAAAATATCAATTAATGTAGAGACATTTTTCCCGTTCATAATATATTTCTTATCACTTAATGGTTCATCTTTTATCATTATAATTTACTTACCTTAAATTAATCACATTTAAAATCTAAAATACACTCTAACTCTTGTATGGTTTTGACTGAAAACAAAATCAGATTTTACTTCGTTGAACATATAAAGACAAGAGCAAGTACCTGTTTGGTTTGATAATTTGGAATACTTAAATATGTTTAGCCTCAAAATAAAACTCTACAAGTAATAATATTCTGATAAATCGGAATGAACATTATATTTTTTCACAAGGTCATTATAACACTCTCAATATCAAAACCTCATAATAAAGAGAGGTCTGAACTCAGTAGGTTGCGGTGGGGAGGGGGTTTCTCTAAGCTCCTACTTTAATGTCTCATTAAATGAAATAAGACCCAGTCTGATCCCTTTGCAGAGGTTTTAATTAGTGTAAGAAACACCTTTTTATTTCTAACGTTTAGGTATTTAAATGCTGCTTGTTAGTATAGTTTGATTGTATGAATTAGATAAATTAGAAGGCGTTGCAATTAGCAATATAATTAAAAAAATTACTACCAATCGTAGGAAACAATAAAATACGACTATGTACCTACTTTTTATAAATGATACTGGGCACACTGGGACCTTTTATTTGAAGGACTTCGTTTGCATCCCGTAATTTTATAAAGGAAGTTAATTTTTACATGATAAAATCAAGTACCCTCCTTAGGCTTCAGGTCAAATTACCAAGTATAAGATTGTAATATCATATCCTATACCATAATATGTGCTAATTCTGTTTGTCTGTCTGTCTGTAACATATATCTTGAAATCCAGCGGAAGGATTTTTACTAAGTTCTGGAATTAGGGACATATAGCCCAAAATGTGATTGGTGACAGCATGGTGACAGCAACTACCTTAGGAAAATTCGTATTTTCGTAAATTTTTTTGAAAATCTAGAAATTTAACATTGGCCTTATGGGTTGCTAATTAGTTGTGTTGGTTGAACACACGTTGAACGAAATAACAAGGAAGAATTAAAAAAAATACTTGTAACACGTGTTTACAACAAGCCATCCACAGTATACTAGCAAATTAAAAAATACAGTACAAAGGGAAAAACATTGAGCAAAGATTACACTAAAGATTACTCGACATTGGGAAAAAGTGTATTGTATTGGTGATGTTTGATTGCACTGGCGTCAACTCAATATCAATTTTATTTAAGGGAAGATTTTTACAATGTTTATTCCCTTTTTTATTGTTTACATAATTTGAACATATGTATTCAGTTGAATCAGTATTGATGTTAATTGTATTACAATAATCTTTATAGAAAACAATACACCCTTGAATCGGACTTATCTGTCTTCAGCTAATCCATCATATGATAGTATTTGACAGAGTATGCTCATGCTGAAGTTTTACTTATACTTAAAGAAATATTTAATTTAGTACAAATAAATCACACCCCTTAAATACGCTGCACTATGCTGTATTGATGCTATTGCAGCTGATTGCTACTGTATTAACCTGCTTCTCTAAGAACTGATACTAAAAAAAAATACTTCTTTAATTTTTAACATTTTTTTTATTTATTTATAACGTAAGAAATGTGTAGGCCATCAAAAAATCTTTCAATATAAATTAATGTGTTGGATTGCCAAATTAAAATTTCCATCATAGTAAATTGAAATTCTACTGGCACTTTAAAAATAAAAGCCGAAAGTAGTTATAAAGAAAACGAGAGTTTCCTTTATTGCTTTTACAATCGAAATAAACATACCAAGCCGTGGCTCGGTCCCCCGGTACTATTAACTAATAGGCAAGTGTTTGTAATTTCGCTTCATAGAACACTGTAAAATAATAAAAATTACTATCTTCTTAAGACTAATTTGTTGCTTAACATGCCATTAAAAAGAACATGATGTTTTGGTTTTGGTATTTGATTATTATTTCACATGCATGTTGCTCACTGTTGTTTATATTTTTCATATATGTAGAGATAGAATTTTATTTGTTTTTGAGGTTTTAAGGGTTTTAAAAAGTTTAATATCAAATATATATATATATATATATAATAGTATTATACAAAATACCTTTTAAAGCTGAATTTGATATCAGTGTCCCTCTGAACTAACGACATCTTAAACTAACTGATAATTTAAAAAAATGGCAATTTTAGAACAAGGTACACTATACTTAAAAGTATTGATAGTAATAGAGCTTCAATCTACATATATAAAAGGCAAAGCCCTCACTGACTGACCGACTGACTGACTGATTCACTCACTCACTCATCACTAATTCTCCCACTTCCTATTTACCTAGGAGGCTGAAATTTGGTACACTGATTCTTTAGGTATTAAATAGGAAAACTAAGTTGTTTTTATTCTGATCGGACTCTCGGGCTCCGCCC